CATTTTATCATTCATTGCCCCACATAATTTCAACGTAGCCAGACGGGCCTCTGCAATCCACTTTTCGCCTCTCCAGGAGACAGAACGTGACGGGTGGTGAACCTCGTCGCCGGTTTTCCTCCCGGAGATTCTTCGCACCCCTGCCCCATTAAAGGGGCGCCGGGAACTCGGGGTCATTTTATGTGTTAAAAAGTCCGTGATAAATATTGGTGAACGCAGGCCTTCGAAGTTTAGGTGTTCTGTGCTGAGCCCTTTTCCATTGTTTTCCTTTTTAAACATTTTTAAGGAATTTAAAAGTTTGTTTTTTTGTCATAACTGATGAAAAGTCTACTATGACTGAATTTTTGGACTTACTTTTCGAATAGATTTTTTGAATATTACGTATGTCTGTTTGTTCCAATTTAATTTTTAACACATTTGCAAGCGATGTTACCAAATTTTGCAGATCTTGGTCTGTTTGTCTTTTTATACTCGGGATATTTCTTATTTCTATACATGACGCATGATTGTTTCTCTCCAATATTTAAATTTTATTTTCTAGATTTTCAATATAAATTTTGTCCAATTTTTTCTCTTGAAGTAAATTATCATATTTATCTTTTAAACTGTCATATTGATGAGACAAAAACTCGAGGGAGGACAAAATATGAGTGTTTTGGTCCTTAATTGTATTAATTGTTTCTAGTAGTGTTGCGTATTTCTCGTCCCGAGTCGACGTCCAGTTAGAAAACATACTTTCGAATTTTTGCATAAGAAACTCGATGTCATCGCCTTGCTTCCGCTTCTGAAGTCTCATAGTTATATTTTTGTCCCCTGATAAATCTGGGGATGACGAGGAGCAGTAAAACTGAATTTTGAAAGGTGAACTTTCGATTGGCACAATGAAGAATAAAATAAACTCCTTTCTCCTTTGTGTCAAACACAGCGTTTTCTATCACTTATGACTTAGTAACAAAAAGTGTAGTCCTATTTGTGGTCTAAGATGCGACTTTCCGACGGCCAAAGAATGTAGTCGACTTGTCCAGGTCCTTAAGTTTTTTTTTGTTTTTTCTTAAATAATGTATTAATTACAGTAAGCTTATTTTCTAATGCATATTGTATTATCCGATCGCCTCTGTCATTTCTGATGCCATAACAGTATGGTCCCATTACTGTATTTTCTCCTGGTTTTCTTTAGCCAATTTTGCCGTTTAAATCTCCCATTACAACCAGTGTCTCGTTAGAGAGTGAGCAGTTTTAAGTTGATCGTAGAAGGATGTCACTTCTTTATCACTTGCGTCGTGGGTGGGTGCATATACCTTTATTAATTATATTTTTGTTGTTTCGAGTTGGAGATTCAACATGCATACTCTTTCCGATAATCCTATATAGTTCTGAATATTTGATTTATATTTCTTTTTGATCAAGAAGCCAACACGGTGCAGACCTTTCGTTGTTCCTGTATAGCAGAAAATGTGTTCTTCGAGTTCTATGATGTGGCTACCAGTTCTTCTTATTTCTGCCAATCCAATAATGTCATATTTTATGTTATTTAGGGAGTTTTTAAGTAATATTGTTACGCGCTCAAGTCGACGATACACTAGCGCCATCTAGTGTCAGGAACGAGAGCGAGGGGAGCATTGAGAAAATGACATCACAAATCACTCGACCGACAGCGCCACCCGAAGAACTAAGTTTCTGGAAAATCTACACTCGAATACTCGTTGCCTGGCGCGCATTTACTTGAATGTTCGGGACGCTTCTTTGCTAATTATATAAATAGGCGCTGCAAGATGCGATCGGGGCAGAGTTGAACTCGGCGACACAAGCGAAGCTTCGGAGCGGAATTAAGTGAATTAGTGTGTTTAATTACTAGTGTTTTAAGTTTTAATTTGTGTAAAGTAAATTAAAGTGTTAATTTAGGTAATTTTATCGGCAACTTTTATTGTCACGAACCTCAAGCTCGTAACAATTGGTGTCAGAAGTGGGATAAAATAATGCCGATTTTACCTAAGGAGGAAACGGAGGGTGTCCGTACCCGAAGTCAACGCCAGCAGGAGACGGACCAACGAAGATTTGGTGGTGCAACGCCGCAGACATCGGAGGGCCAGCCGCCGGCAACGGAAGCCGGTCCGTCAGTAGCTCCTGCATCCGCAGCACCTGATTTAGGCGCTCTGATGGTGATGCTGCAGGAACAGGCGCCGTCAGTTGAAAGAGCAGCTGCAGAGCGGACAGGATGAACAGGCCCGTCGGTTAGCGGATCAGCAGGCGGAACAGGCTCGCCGACAGGAGGAACAGGTCCGTCGGTTGGAAGAGCAGCTGCGGGGCGGACAGGCAGAACAGGCCCGCCGACAGGAGGAACAGATGCTTCTCATGAAGTACCTTCACGCTACCTTCGGGAAAGAGATAAGGGAGGTGAAGGATAAGGTTGCTCAACATGAAAACCGCCTGTCGGAAGCTGAAACCCGAATTGACAAAGTGAACAATCGGGTTGACAACGTAATGGCTGACATGAGGAAATCACTTGACGAACTCAAACTTGGGGAGGGAACTACAGCTCCCGTAGTAGCTACTACACCTTCGCTACGTGGGTTCAAGGTGCCACCATTCGACGGGACTTCTTCCTGGTCAGCCTACAAAATCCAGTTCGAGGCTGTTATGAAGGCGAACGGCTGGAATAAAAGTCAGGCCATGACTGCTCTCACACTAGGCCTACGCGACCAGGCCTTAACAGTTCTGGAAGCTCTCCGTGAGGAAGTGACTTATGAGCAACTCCTTGAGGCATTGGAGGCGAGATATGGCGACGCTCACCTGGAACACGTCTTTCGTGCGCAGCTTAAAGATCGTGTGCAGCGCATCAACGAAAACCTGCTGCAGTGGGCTCTAGAAGTGGAGAAGCTGGTGCGAAAAGCATATCGGTCTGTACCTGCGCTCATTGAAGGGAACCTGGTGCAGACATTCATCGACGGCATCCGCGACCTGGAAGTCAGAGCTGCTGTGAGGCTCGGGCACCACGAGACGCTTAAGGACGCCTTGGCCCATGCACTAGAAGTGGAAGCCGTGCGGCAGGATCATCGTTCCCATCGCGTCAGGGAGGTTGCAGCAGCTACAGTTCGCGACCGCAACAAAGGATACAGCCCAAGGTGCTATGGCTGTGGGGAAAAGGGCCATCTTCGATCCAGCTGCCCTAAACTAACCGTGGAAAGGAGAGTTGATCGATCTCGAGAGGGTAGTACAGCTAACGGCACTGCCTGGCGGCGACAGGATCATCGTTCACCTCACGCTAGGGAGGTTACAGCAGTTACGGTTCGCGACCACAATAAAAGATACAGCCCTAGGTGCTATGGCTGTGGGGAAAGGGGCCATCTTCGGTCCAGCTGCCCTAAGCACACCCTAGGAAGGGAAGGTGAACGGTCTCAGAAAGGAAGTGCGGCTAACAGCACCGCCCAGCAGCAGCAGGAATACGACTTTACTATCAGACACTGCAGCGGGAAATCTCACGGCAACGCAGATGCATTGACAAGAAGACCTTGTCCTGAAGATTGCAACCATTGTAGTAGGCAAGAGAGTAAGGAAGTGGTATCCGTGAGGATGCTCAGGACAGACCACCTCAGCAACGGGTGGAAGGACAGCCTACGACATGCACAGCAGGAAGATCCGGACATCAAGCCGATTCTGGGATGGATGAAGGCCCGTGCTACCAAGCCTAAGCGGAGGGACGTCTCAGCGATGAGTTCAACCACGAAAAGCTATTGGGCCCAATGGGACAGCTTGCTGATTCAGGATGGAGTCCTGTGCCGTAAATGGGACAATGGTCGAAGGGACAGCTGTCGTTTACAAATGGTTGTCCCTAAAGCTAAAGTGCCGAATGTTCTACAGCTGTGCCATAATGGTCGTTCAAGAGTCCATCTGGGAGTTAAACGAACTCTACTGAAGGTCCGAGAACAGTTTTACTGGGTCCATTATCGTGACGATGTCGAGGATTGGTGTCGTACATGTACAAGTTGTGCGGCCGTGCGGGGACCTCAGACACGTAGTAGAGGAGCACCGAAATTGTACAATGTTGGTGCACCACGGGATAGAACAGCCCTTGACATTGCGGAGCCGTTACAGAAAGGCGCAAGAGGGACTCCTAAGATCGTCCATGTGGATCGCTTGGCGCGTTATTATGGGGCCGATAATGCTCGGGGCGAGCATGTCTTAGGAGGGGGCAGTGTTACGCGCTCAAATCGACGATACACTAGCGCCATCTAGTGTCAGGAACGAGAGCGAGGGGAGCATTGAGAAAATGACATCACAAATCACTCGACCGACAGCGCCACCCGAAGAACTAAGTTTCTGGAAAATCTACACTCGAATACTCGTTGCCTGGCGCGCATTTACTTGAATGTTCGGGACGCTTCTTTGCTAATTATATAAATAGGCGCTGCAAGATGCGATCGGGGCAGAGTTGAACTCGGAGACACAAGCGAAGCTTCGGAGCGGAATTAAGTGAATTAGTGTGTTTAATTACTAGTGTTTTAAGTTTTAATTTGTGTAAAGTAAATTAAAGTGTTAATTTAGGTAATTTTATCGGCAACTTTTATTGTCACGAACCTCAAGCTCGTAACAATATCATTCGTTTCGGTGATAACAGCGATCTTACATTATACGTGCATATATATTGTAGTTGTTGTGTTGGAGGGTTATAGTCTTTATCTCCTGCGGTGACAAGCCGTGATAGGAGATTGAGAGGGGCCTTTTGTAATTGCTAATTTGTGTCCTCATTATTGGGTGTAGAGTCATGCGTAGTCCGTTCAGAATTTAGTATAAATTTTGGTTTATGTCGAATGTATTCCTTCATTGTTATTGTTTTGCTCTTCTTAACTGACTGCTTTTTATTTTGTAAAATATTAGAGGGGTTTTTTAACGTAGTTTCGGGAGATTCAGATATTGATCTTTTGTTGGTAGGATTTTGTGTAGAGGTTTTATTTTTTCTAGGTAATACTATGAGCTTATCATATTTTATAAAACTGTGTTACCTGCTTCTCTTTCCACCTTCAACTGGGGCTGTAATTCCTTACGTTTTTTCAGCACTTCTTTCGGAAAATCCTGTTTAACATAGTAGTGGGTATCTTTTAAGCATTTTTGATTTTGTTGAATTTTCAATTTGAATCCCATTGTACTGAACGTCACAACAACAGGCCTCATTATTTCACCCTTTTTTCCAATTCTTCTAACGGATTCTAACCCGTTTTCAAAATTAAAACCAAAGCATTTATTTATTATGTGTAATATTGCATTTTCTAAATCGTTGTATGATTTTTCCCCTTCTTCCACACCAAATAAAATTAAGATTTTGCGTCTCATCTTCTTCAAATTAAAAATAATTCAAATCTTTCGATGTTGTTGATTTGTAAAGAATGTTCCTTTATTTTATTTTCTAGATGTTCGTTCTTCATTTCTAAGTTTTTAAACTTTTCATTTATATTATTGTTAATTGTGTTCTTAATATCTTCTTTCATGTCGTGCATGTCTTTTTTTTGTTGCAACATTTCCTTCCGAAGGTTTTCTAACATGTTTTTTTTTATTTTTTCCATGTTTACAATAAGGTGGTAAAAATGAAATTTTGATGTAATGCAGTCTTATAGTAATGTTTTTTTACTTTTTATTGTAAACAGCGTACTCTGTTAGCGGAGTGATGGACTAGCAAGCAACGCAGATATACACTAACATAATATAATAAAGAAACTAAAAATGGGTTAACAATTACTCAAATTATTAAAAAATAAGGAGGGAACGAAAGTTCGTTTGCTGTGTAGTGGCAGCGTTAGTGAATCCATCACTCCTCTGCGTGCACCATCACAGTTCCTGGAGGTGCAGTAAGAGGCGACTATGGGAAACGCCAGAAAAATGTAACGGCTTTCGATATACGGCACTATAAACAAATTGTTTACGTCAGAACCAGACTACCAAAAAATACCCAGACTGGTAATTCGTACCCAGACTGGCTAGCTGTACCCACACTGTTCAGCAACGTCAAAGATGCGAGATGTATTATCAATGTCAATTTGTTTGCAAACCGTGAAAATTATAATAAATCACTCCTGAAGAGGGAGATGTCTATGTCTTGCAGTAGACTATTACGGGCTAATGATGAAGTATAGAAGAAGAATTCATAATTTTTGCGTCATAAAGTAATGCGATAAAACTCTGAGCCCCCTGAACTTTAGAGTATCGCGAACGTCTCTTACACACTCCACACTTTGGATCCACTCTTGCAAGTCGCTTTCGTTGCAAAGTTGTAGGTGTTACGTACGTAGGATAAAACACCTCCTCATCTACATCATAAACTAAAATAAACTGAAATAATTAAGGATACAATGCTGAAATATAAATTAAATAAAAAATATAAATCTAGTAAAGCGCGCAATGATTATGAGGAGTTCTCTCAATGTAGCGCAAGAGTTAAAGCTTTTTTAACATTTGACATTTGGCAAAGGGTCCGCGAGAGTTTTGGGGTACATAAGATCTAGGAAAGGCGATTCGAATCATCGGAGGTTAATCAATGACGGACGGGTACTATCAGAACAAGAATGTGACAATGAGTTTGCTCGGTTCTTTCAGTTGGTTTACAATCAGAAGCCTCCTAAGCTGAGCTTGACGGTGACAAGCGCAGGTGCGGTGACGGGTGCGGTGCCTGGCGCGTGGGCACACCTTGCGTGCTTACGTTCCACTAACGTACTGCGGGCACTTGCACGTTTACCGCCTAAGTCTTTGGCGGGGCTTCAATGTTTGTATTAAGGCTGCAAAGTTTCCTGATCGTTGGAAACTCACTCGGGTAGTACCCGTACCAAAAGGTAGCGGAGTTCAAGCTCCAGTGATGGACCCGTGGCGGTATTATGCACTCCAGCTAAAGTTTTTGAGTCGATAATTCACAGTAGCTTGTACCCACAACCGTACGGGTGCGGTGCCTGGCGCGTGGGCACACCTTGCCTGCTTACGTCCCACTGACGTGCTGCGGACACTTGCACGTTTACCGCCTAAGTCTTCGGCGGGGCTTCAATGTTTGAATTAAGGCTGCAAAGTTTCCTGATCGTTGGAAACTCACTCGGGTAGTACCCGTACCAAAAAGGTAGCGGAGTTCAACCCCCAGTAATGGATGGATCCGTGGTGGTATTATGCACTCCAGCTAAAGTTTTTGAGTCGATAATTCACAGTAGCTTGTACCCACAAATAAGTGCTCTGCTGTCCGACGCACAGCGTGGCTTCCGTCCCGAGCGGGGAACTTGCTGGAGCTTGTGACGCACATAGTACCAACGATGGATGCTGTTTAACAAGTGGATGTTGCCTATTTTGATTTTAAAAAGGCCCTTGACACTGCAGACAATGACGTTCTTATAGCGAAGTTGGCTAGGGTAGGCTGCACAGCGCACACATTATCATTTTTCGCCTGTTAATTACGAGACCGATGTCGGTATGTTGACTGCAGCGGACGGTTTTCCGAACCCTACTTTACAAGATCAAGTGTCAGTCAGGGCAGTAATTTAGGGCCTCTTCTATTCATTTTGACAATTAACGATTCGCCTGAAGTATTCGATAAGTCTACACCCTTGTTATTTTCTGATGACCTAAAATTAGTTTTAAAATAAAGCAGAGGGCTGATCATGACATACTACAGCAGGATATAACTAAAGTCGTAGATTGAAGTTTGGAAAATAAATTATATTTTAAAGTGGCGAAATGTTCTATTCTAACATTCATCCGTGCACATAACCCGAGTCATCATCAATATTACATGGATGGAACTCCTCTGCAGCGTGTTTCTGAGGTAAATGATTTAGGCGTGTGATTCACTACCGACATAAAATTTTGAAAACACATTACTAATGTTTGTAAAAAAGCATAACGCAACTTAGGAATGGTCTTACGGCTAGCAAACAGATTCGCGAACATCGGTGCTCTGAGAGCATTATACGAGGCACTTGTAAAAAGTCATTTATAATGCAATGCGGTCGGTTGGTCAGCACATGAAGCCAAATATAAACTAATGCTAGAACGTATTCAGAACAAATTTTTGAGATTTATGTATTTAAATCCATATGGCGTGTACCCGGACTATCCACTGTCGTACCCTACTTTATTTATACTAGGCATGATAGGCCATTATAAACCAGAAATAAGAAGGGAAGTTGCTCTCGCCACTTATTTACTAAAAGTAATCCGTGGTAAAATATATAACCCAGTTATTCTACAGATAGTTAAGCTGTGTGTTCCTGATGAGTACGTAGGACGACTCTTGTCGGTGCCGCAAGCGCGCACCAACTTGCTACAGCAGCGCTGCGTGCTGATGCGTGATTATTAAAGACCATGAAATTAAACCTTATTTTACGAGTATCAAAACTATATCAACTTTAAAAATGCATATTATATAAGTACCTAACGCATTTCCGATTCCAGGATAATTTTCTTTTCATAAAGACACATTGGAAGACGTGTCCGATATAAAAAAGTTGTTGCTTGCCGTATGATATTTATGCGATTCTGATAAATTACCTTATGTGTTTCTGTTGCTTATAATTCTGTCAATATAGACACAAATACCGACGTGTCTCTACAAGTGATCCAGTTTTGCAATTTATAGTACGAAATAGTATTATCGATGTTTCTAAATTAAAGCCCCGCGATCGAAGCCGCGTGTAAAAAGCCAGTGAGTTCATAAAGAAACAGACAGACTATTTTCAGGCTCTTTAATGATTTTTGTTACAAATAATATAATATACAATGTATATATACAGGTAATCAATATCTTTATCATAGGTATAAATTTAAAAAGAGATGGCTAATTAAAAATTTCGACGCGATTGATACAGTATAATATAAAACATACCAGAACTTTTAAATCAGTGCCTGCAGCATAGGCAAAGAAGAATGTTCGATCCCAGCCGAAACTAACGTAATGAGGGCAAATAATCTTACGCTCGCTAGATGTCACTAGTTGACATTGACTCGAAGTTTTTTGTTACACAATGTCATTTAATTGATTATTTAGTTTTTAATAAAAATTTATCAGTTACTAGAGTATTATATTAATGCACAAAACAATGCCTCTGTGGTTTGTTCTTTAATTGTTTGCACATTTTAAATTTTTTTTTATTTTTCAATTTTAATGAATATCTGTGGTTTGGTCTATTTATTTTTAATCTAATTAATACAAAATATTACTAATGGTACGAAAGAAACATTAGCCTTTATTTTATATTATTATATTAGCTGAACAAATTAACTTTCCCACTAAGAAATCTATCAAATATTACACCTCATTTTAAGTGGCGCCGCCCTGGTGGCACAAAAAGTCGTGGATGCCCTCATTGTTGATATTTATATCTTTTAAAATTTCATTAAAGTTACTCAGCAGTAAAGAAAAACATTTTAAGCAAACCTTCTAATGCAAAATTTTATAAATAAATTAGTTTGTCAATACGCAGTAGGGCCAGTAATATAAAAATCGGCAGCAAATGTGAAGACACATCTACAGGAAAAAAACACAACCTGCTTTTACGTATTATAGCACCACCATCTATCGATGACGTTGGTTAACTATTGTGAATTAGATAGGTACTAAGGTAATTATATTTTTGTTTATATTTATTACATTATTCTTTCTTATTTTTGTTTACTGCATTTCAGATATAATTATATCGTTATGGAAAATTATTTTATATCATTTAATTATGATTTATGATATAAGATTAAAATGCACTTGATGACTCAACGCCGTCATTGAACAAATTCGTACTTATATCGTACCCATAATAATTAAACAAAGACTAAATTTACACAAAGATACGTTTTATAATTTCTTTGCTGATTATTTTGATATAAATTAATACTTTATACGTGGTACGTTAACAAACACCCCAATTCTGAATATGGTAGAACTGTATTTATATAATTATTAATAGTCCCCCCAATCGCTTTTATTACAAAGATATTAACGTACAGAGTACAGACATCTGTAATTTACATTTTTATTATATGTGTATATAACAGCTTACAATCATATATGTTACATATTCAACAACACAGTAGCAATTACCTCATTCCCAGGGATTTTATTGTCCATAAATTTCTTAACATTATAATAACCCTTTTCATTTAAAAATTAATTTTTGTTCGTA